TGTTCTCCTGTGCTTAACATAAGTTACTGCTATATCTGTCAAGCCATCAAACTCCCCAGCTTTTGAAATCTCCCCTATTACATGTTACAACTTCTGCTGTGCTCGCATATCCCCCCTCCCCCCATTTTTCTCATACTGAAAATCAATGAATGTGCTTTGATAATATTTTTATACTAAAATGTTTTTTTTTTTTTTAACACACGTCCTAAAAAATGTCTCAAGCTGTGGTGGGCCATTTAACATCAGCTCGCGGGCTGCCTACTGCTCTAAAATTTAAGTATTTACATTCCAGCCACGTCCCACTTTGTACAACATTTTTCTCATACTGAAAATCAATTAATGTGCTTTGATAATATTTTTATACTAAAATGTTTTTTTTTTTTTTAACACACGTCCTAAAAAATGTCTCAAGCTGTGGTGGGCCATGTAACATCAGCTCGCGGGCTGCATACTGCTCTAAGATTTAAGTATTTACATGCCAGCCACGTCCAACTTTGTACAACTAATGAGTGAGAATGTACATGGCTTACCTGCATCCTGCAACTATGGTAACTGGAACTTCTGGCTTAATAGCGATCTTATGAGAAGAAAACATGAGAAGAAAAAATGAGAGGAAAACATTTTTTGTTCAAAAGAAGCAAGACAAAAATTTTAAATAAAAAATGTTATAAATGACAGAAATGTTCTTCTAAAAATATTTACTTTTTAAAGTGCATATGTTGGCCATTTACAGGTTCAAAAATTTATTTTAATGTTCTTTAGGGTGTTAAAATGAGAAAATGATTTAGCAACATTGTTCCCCTAGATCAGTGGTCGGAAAATTCATGAGCCAAAAGAGCAACAAAAAAAAAAAAAAAGCAGCAGGACGATTAAACATTTTTTGAGAGCCAAATTTCTTTTCAAGAGCCATGTTTTTCGGAGTCAAAACCGCTTTGTGGCCGACTGGCCGAGCCGCACTCAGGTCCCTAAAGAGCCGCATGCGGCTCGCGAGCCGCGATTTGCCGACCACTTCCCTAGATACACGTTAGGTCTTTAGGTGGACTCATGATTAAAAGTCTTTACAGCTGGTTTTCTCATACGACAAATTCAGTTCTTGATTTGACTAAACGAATTTGAAAAATTTATCAATTTTTTTTTCCCATTTAAAATAGTTCTGCCAACTGTTTCAAATCTATTTATTTATAAAATCATTACAACTCAAATTCCAACATATAAAAAAATATAATTCAGTTTTGAAATGTTTTAACGAAACTCGATTGAGTTCCACTGATGACCATCTTATACACCAGGTGTAAAGTTTTACTGTAAGGTTTCTGTTTAATGACATCACAATGATTCCATGCTGACGAATTTCTGAAACTTCACTTCCCTTTTTAACACATGTTTGTTAAATCTCCAGGTATGTATCTGACAACCGTGATGGGCATCACGTCCATGTCAGTCATGTTAGCTGTCCTGGTGTCCAACATCAGTCACGGCGGGCGCCACGAGACCCCGGTGCCAAAAGTGCTACGGGGCTTCACTATTGTACTCGGCAAAATCATGTGTCGGCGCCTCAACTACGTAAAGACCCTCTCTGGCGACGTTCGCGTGCTGTCTTCCGGCCCGACCAGATCGAGGCGGACCATCTACCGGGTGAGCAACGGAAATCACGTGTCCAGCGACTCGGGCTGTGGGCTACTCGACTACGAGCTCGGAGAAAGTCCGAGCAGCAGTGAAAATATTCACAGACATCCGACGAGGGTCACCTCCCCTTCCAACGACAGGCGAAAAGGGGGGCCACCGAAGGAGGATGACATTGAAACCATCTTGTCTTTGCTAAAAAAAGTTCTGTTGAAGGAGCACGAAAAGGATGCGAACGAAGAGCTCAAGCTCCAGTGGGAGGAGGTGGCCCAAGTCTTGGACAAGTTCCTTTTTTATATCTTCCTGACGCTGACGGTCTCTGCCACTGTGTTGACCCTTGTGGTGATGCCGATGACGAAACCGGAAACACCAACTCTGGTGAAATACACGTGACCTTGTTAATGACATGTACAGGGGGGGCGGGGTGGGGAGATGTTAAGTTAGAAGCACATAACGGCCCGTCTCTGGATAAGACGAGGCTTCCAGGCATTAAATCAACCCTAGGCTATGACGTCACACAGAAAGTTGTCTATTGTGGATAGAAACAAGCAAATGAATAAATTCACTGGGACAATATTTTTTAATAAAATTTTGCCATTTGTTATCCGGTTTCTAAAAATTTGTTACAATTTCGACTCCCAAAATCTTGCGGTTCGACTCCTGGGCCCAGAGGCCGACGCCCTGTAAAGACAATGCAACAAACAGTGGATGCGTTTTTGGTTGATCATTTATGTGCTTTTGATCAGTGCAACAGCTTATCTGAAGTGTTTACGGTACGACTGCTATTCTGAAGTGTTTACAGTATCACTCTAATTTTGAGGCGTTCACAGTATGACTGTAATTTTGAAGTGTTTACAGCTGGCCTGCAAAACTGAAACTGTAAGGTGGGCCGTAATACTTTATGAAAGCATGTGCGGACCAAAACAAAATAGGACATGGGGAAAGCTATGAAAAAAAATAAGAATAAAGAATATTTCGTTACTTCGCGGGCCGCAAAATGAGTGCTGGCGGGCCACATGCGGCCCGCATGTTGTGCAGGCCTGGTTTACAGAATGACTGCAATTCTGAAGTGTTGACAGTATGACTGCTAGCCTGAAGCGTTTACAGTATGACTGCTAATCTGAAGCGTTAACAGTTTGACTGCAACTCTAATGTTTCATAAATTGACTGCAATTCTGATGTTTCATAAAATGACTGCAATTCTGGTGTTATGGTATCAGTTTGACTGCAATTCTGGTGTTATGGTATCAGTTTGACTGCAACTCTAATGTTTCATAAAATGACTGCAATTCTGATGTATGGTATCAGTTTGACTGCAACTCTAATGTTTCATAAAATGACTGCAATTCTGATGTTATGGTATCAGTTTGACTGCAACTCTAATGTTTCATAAAATGACTGCAATTCTGGTGTTATGGTATCAGTTTGACTGCAACTCTAATGTTTCATAAAATGACTGCAATTCTGGTGTTATGGTATCAGTTTGACTGCAACTCTAATGTTTCATAAAATGACTGCAATTCTGATGTTATGGTATCAGTTTGACTGCAACTCTAATGTTTCATAAAATGACTGCAATTATGATGATATGGTATCAGTTTGACTACAACTCTAATGTTTCATAAAATGACTGCAATTCTGGTGTTATGGTATCACTTTGACTGCAACTCTAATGTTTCATAAAATGACTGCTATTCTGGTTGTGGTTTAATCACGATGACTACAAGTCTGATCTTAATATTACTTAAATTTTTAGTGACTACTTGATCTCTTTAATCAGGTCCTATGGTTCATTGCAATTGTCCCTTTTGATAGCCTTAGTCATTGAAACTGTCAACATTGGACGTTTTAGGTTGATGAAACTTTCAACATAGGACCCTTTAGGTCATTGAAACTGTCAACATAGGACCCTTTATGTCATTGAAACTGTCAACATAGGATCCTTTAGGTCATTGAAACTGTCAGCAAAGGACCCTTTGAGTGGCTTGTGACCACATCTTTAAATGATAACTCAGTTTCATTGTACCCTTAATGTATAAAGTATCACACATGTTTCATTGGCCTATTTTGAAAGCAAAAACTTTCTGATAATATAGAGAACTATTACATAATTTTTCTCATTTTGATGAGCAATGTTTTCCCCAACAGAATCTTAACTTGCTAATGCTGTTCAATTACCCTGAGAGACATGGTAAGATTATGATTAGGGCTGACCTCAAAGTGTTTCGTGGTCCTCAGAATAAAGCTAAATGTGTGCCTCATTTGTATCCTGTAACATTCGTCTACACACCACCTTTCTCTCCTCTCCCTAATAACCGATACTAATTAATTATCTGCCCTGCTTTCTGTAACATTTTGCAATCAATTGAATTATTATCATGCATCATATTAATACACACAAAATATCATCACCAAAATGATTTAGCTATTTATTGTTTTAAAAGAAAATTGTTTTGAATGTATTGTTCTGAGTTTTAATACTGAGTGTTCTGATGTGAACTTATTTGATTTTGAGATAATGTTTTGGGTGGGGCCTTGAATAAAGAATACTTGTCCATGCAAGAAACCTACGTCATTGTAGTCCCAATAACATACTTGCAAGGATTGTAACATACATTTCATGCTGAAGAATGGCTGCATCCCATAAATCAGGAGCTAACTGCACTGACATTTCCATGGGCTCATTGAAAGTATCTCCATGTGGGACAATAAATACAGAGCACAAAGAATTTCACAAGGACTCAGCTAGACTAATTTAATTAAACACCCACTGAAAACATAGTTTTTTTGCATAAATCCTTTATAAACGGTAATATCAAGCAGTGGGGTTGGGGCTGAAGATTTGACAACACTTGCATACAAGTAACGCGGTGTATAAGTGCGCCCCCCCCCCCCCCCCCCCCCCTAATATTCTATTTGACACCTGCTGTTACACAGCAGATTTATGTCACCAACATTAAAATTTTAGAAAAACAAAACAAAATATTATTATAATAAAAAATTTGCGATATTTTTTTTTTTTTTTTTACAAAGGATCTCATTTAGCGCAGCTATCGGGAATTTCATTTTATCTTCCACTTGAACAACCGATTTTAGTGGGTTAGGGGTGCAAATGTGAAAAGCTGTGTTGTCATCAGCAATAAGCTGTTGTGCCAAGCTTCAGCTCGATAGGTTGATGGGAAGTGGGTCAATTAGCTGTCCGAAGATTTTGCCTACCACCCACGTACAAAAAGCCAAGTTAATATAAAGGATTTAAAAAGAGGGTTGGTGTAATAATGTCAATAATACATTTAAAAACTTCCTGATTATGGCCACAACTTTCATAAGAGAGTAATCAGAAAAACCAATAAAACTTTTGAAACAAACTGTTGAAAGGCAGCTGATCAATTAAAAAAAAAGTGCTACGATTGATTGTAATTAATTTGAGCATTCATTCTAGATTGACATTGCAAGCTTTGAAAGACAAAAACTGAGATTTAAAAAAAAAACAGTTAAGAAAAGATATGTTGGTGATTCACAAGCCAATCTAGCTGGATTATAGGCTGGCAAGAAGAGGTTTTCCCCCCTTTCTTGCATCACTACAAACATACAGTAGAGAATGGACATGGGTTTAACATCTTCAAAGAGCCCCACCACCACCACACGTCACTGTTCAGACTGGATTGTCTAGTTTACAATATCTATGAAACTGACAGCAATCAAAGGTCCCCTGATGTCCCACCACAGTTTACCTTAATACCAACACACTGGATGCACAGAATTCTAACCAGACCTACTGACAACTAGAAATATTTTATGGCCAACCAAGACTACAAACTACCTGGCTAAGTTAAAAGTAAAGGAAAAGAAAATATCTCATTTAAAAAGTTCTAATTAAAAAAAAAATTTAAAAAATCATGCTCAAAACTAAATTTAGTTTATTTAGTGAGTCATCCAGGTGCAAGATATGAAACCACAACCACAAAAGATATAACAATAACATCCACTTTTGCACCTGTAAGATTCACAGTACCATAACACAAATGGAGGACAACATTTCAAAAAGAAAATGTGCTGCAGTTAATTAAGTGATGCATTTATTAATTTCACCCAGATTTGAAGGTGCAGATACATGGTTTATGTCGCTCAAAAAGTCTTGAACATGTATATCCAGTTAAACATTTACCCAGAGTTCATCGAGTTCAAATTTATCACAGTGAGTCTATTTTCCACTTTCCACACACAAATTAATTATTTAAGACAGATCACTGGTGAAATTTACTAATGTGCCTAGCAATATCCACAACCCATGGCACCTTTTAAAAGATTTATCTTTGTTGAAGGCCTGACATAGAATAAACAAAAACAAGCTGCTTTTGATTTATTACCTAGAAATATTATCAATTTATAGGTTTCTGATGATTCTGAATATAAATTTAAAATAATGTACACATTTTAAAACTCATTTAAATTTTGATGGACATTGTTTGTCATGTTAAAGGTGGGGGAGGGGAAATCACAATTTAAGAATTATATAAATGAAAGACTGAATTAAAAACAAAAAAATGTAGAAGGTAAAGAAAAACCAGATCCCACTGCCCTACATAGATTCAGATAACCCAATGCATTTACTAAGTTTAAAAAAAATATCCCTTAAATCATAGACTAAACAAATCAACGATATCAATAGTTTTTTTTAATCCAACATTTGAGACTGCTCTATCTTATCTTCCAGTTAAAAAGTTTTGAGAAGAGATCTCTGTCCTGGAGACTGACATCAGGTGTTGTTAACCTAACATTGTTGTCCGGTTTGCTCCATGTTTCCTTAAACACACCGATTTCCTCTGAAATAAAAAAACAAACATAAGTTACCAGTAAATGTGATCTAAGTCAAAAATTTTTCAGGAGAAAATTTTATCTGTACAGAAGCACACAATAAAAAGCATAGAAAAATAATGTCCTCATCATAAAATATCCATTTTAGGATGTGGGGATAAATAATTAAGGAATCCAGTTAGACGATCATAAAAACACTATGAAAAAAAACCCTTAAATTTTTCTTTTTTCTATTCAAGTCGAGTTACAACGCAATAAATAGTAGAACAAAATAAAAAATTTCTTAAAAAGCATTACGGAAAGAAAACTGTGCAGAAGTGTAGATGAGCAGTTTAAGTGACCAAAGGATTCAAATTCAATATAGACAAAAACTTAAATATTTGTTATTTTTATTAATTTTAAAAAATATTTTCTGCATAAACTTTCTTTGCTTAATGCATTTTATGGAATTTTAAATAATTCTCTACTTTTTAATTTTAAGTGCCTTTTAACATTTCTTGGATGAAAAGTATTTTAAACTTTTTAAACTAAATATTTTATTATTTTCTACAATCTAAAATTGTCACCTTTAAATTATCAACAAAAGTACAGTATTTTAGCATATGTAAGACACCACATCTTATACAAAGTTTTACATACCCCATACCCAGTGTGCGTCTTATATAAGGGTGTGTCTTATGTAAAATATTCTTTACAAAAATCGTCAAAACCCTTGTCTTATATAAGGGTGCGTCTTATAATTAGGTGTGTTATACGTACGAAAATACGGTAAGCATTTTTTTAACACTAACCAACGTTACATTTTTCAATCCATGTCTGAGAACTATTAAACCCAGTCTAAATACATTTAAAAATAATTACCATCATTCTTCTGACTGACTATCCTAAGACTCCTGAGAAGCACTGAGTGCTGGCACTTACTTTCATCAATGTTATTGAAAGCCTCTCTCGTTTCCTGTTGACCATCAGCCTTGGTCACAGTGGTGACAGAGTAGGATTTGTCACCAAGAGATCTGGTGATCGTGCTCTCTTCCTGACCACTGGAATCTCTAACAACTTTACGCTGTTCTACTTTCTGGAAAGAATGCCAGAGCAATCATATTACAGAATTAAATGGTTTCATCCCATTAGACATCACATAAAGTTACAATACACAAGGCTGCTAATTTTTTTTATAGTCAAAACGCTTTTTCATGTAATGGTTGTTGGCTATTTCTAAAACAAGTTTCAGATAAAGAGTTGGACATTAAATAACATTATGAGTATGCTCTAGATTCAAATGTGTTGGAATGAAATTTAGAGTCATTTGCAATTAGTTAATTATTATTTAATTTGTTCCATCTGATTTTCATACAAGAATCAAACATATAATTACATTCACCAAATGGGCAATTGTTCATTTTGTAACCTGCTCAACAATTAAATAAAAGCAGGGTCAATAAAAATCATAATTTAAAGAAATATATAAATAATAAATTGGATTTATTTAATTTTAAAGGATTTAAAAAAATTAAATAGTTTCTTTTCTTCTTTTTTTAAAAAGGGTTTCTTTAGATTTTAAAAATATCAATGTTTATAATATAGTTAAGAGTATTTAAATAAATTACATTTTTAAAACTTAAATCGGATTTCTAAAATTAAAATCACATTTTTTATTGAACTTGATTTTGTTTCTCATTTTTCTTTAAGGATATCCTTAGATTCTGAAGATCATAAATGTTCATAAAGATGAAAAATAATGTAGTAAATGATATTTAAATCAACTTTTCAATTTAAATAGGATTTTCTTTTACTTAAATCATATTTTTTAAATTTTAAGCAAGATTATTAAAAATTTAGAAATTTGTTCCTATTTTTTTAAGAAGGTTTTCTTTAGTTTTTGAAGAATATATAAAGCTCATTGTGGGTTAGAGGATTTGTGTGTTTATGGCATTGTTTGATGGTTACAGCATAATAAAATATTGAACTTAGAGAGTTGAAATTTTCCACAGATATCTATTATCCCAGAATCAGAATAGACTAGGTCATTTTTTTTCCCCGATATAAGATTGGCCCGCATTGGCCAAAAATAGTTTATTTACCTTGTGCAAGCTATACAAATGAAAAAGTGTCATGATTTTGGCTGCATGAATGTTTTATGTAAGTTTTTATTGGTGTGTAAGATTAGTTCATTACAAGACTACATTATGTTAAATGTTAATGTACTTTGACTTCTGAATATTGTGAAAGAGGTCATTATTGAATAATCATTCCTAGACTGGGGAGGGCGACCTTTTACTCAAAATAGCATAATTAAGGTGAATGAAAAGTAAAATTGGCCACACTTTATATAAATCATAATTTAAAGTACTTTAATAGGGTACATTTTTAAATGATCAACTAAATGGTGCCTTATTGACTTGGGCTTTCAACCGATTCACAGCTTTTAAAAGTTTCTATGAATAAGCTCAACGTGGGTTTGTTTGTTTGTTTAATTATATCATTTAAACTATTGGGCGTAGAGAGCTCAAATATTCAACAATTGTTCTATATTAAATTAGAAATAGCACAGGCTTTGTCAATTTTAAAAAATTCCAAAAAATTACAATTAGTAATGTAAGTACCTATAAATTGACATGTTCTGAAAGAATATTGCTTTTAGCAGCTAAAAAAAAAACTTGATTTATTGATAGTTTGAACAATTAATGGAGTATTAGATTGGATTCAGAAGTTGAGTAGTAAAATTTAACTCACTCTGTAAAGGTCAAGGTCAATATCAACATATAAATTGATACAATAAGATGCCTTGTCCAATGTACTTTCAGAAAATGTATACTTGTAAGGGTATCTGAATTAATTTATCATGGTATTTTTTCCTTTTCCACAAGCATATGAAAATGCCAAACATGGTTTGACATGACAGAAAATGCACTTGACAGTGTAGGGTTAAATTGATTTCATTTCCATAAAATAATACCTAATCACAACCATGGTTTTTAAAATTCAGAGTGCAACACATCTAATGGAGTCCCTTCTCATAGAGATAATATATTATGTGGCTTATAATATTTAATAACAAAAAAAAGTTCTTTCATCTAGTGCTTTTAAATATGAATAGATTAGATCAATGAATAAATTGATTTTAAAAATTGTTCATTTAAATCATCATTCCTATAGGTCCGATTTAATTCACCTCAGCCAAAAATAAAAGGGAAAAGTAAATAAGTTACTAATAAAAAACAAAAGATAATTAAATCTACAAGAAGCAGATTGCTATTTCAAACTTACCCCATCAGGTCCACGAATTGTTGAGAAACTGAAGGATCTACTAGACGAGAAAATCTGGGGCTGGTTTTTAATGGACAACTGGGGTTCCACAGGCTCAAGAGCCTGGATATCTGTTGGGTTTTTGATCAAGTCCAAAATATTCTTCTCACTGACTTTACCATCAAGATCTGATTAAAACAGTTTTAACACGATCATAATTTTTAGATTCAATCCTTTCATATAAAGGCTATTTGAATCTTGTTATTTTGAACCAAAAAGTATCTTTTAAAGACAAATATTTGGAAAAAAAACAACTAAATAGTTTTTAAACAAAGGCAAATATATATTATCTTAATTTCTTTTCAGAACCTTTAATTTGGTGTCATATACTTTTCTTCTACTCCAATTTTATAATGTAAAAAGCGTTCTGTTTTATAATGAAAAAGTGTGACTTGATTCTAGTAGTTGATTCTTGTTGCTTAAGTTCTAGTAGATTTTCAGCCTAGGGTTAAAATCATACAGTGATATAACTCTTGTAAATTTAAACATACACGTTTCGTTAAAAATATATTACCGGTGTCTAGTCGCTCTGATAAATCAAATCTGGTTGGAGGTGGAACAGTAATGATCTCAGAGACCTGAAAGAATAAAACCAAGAATAATTTTTAAATTTAAAAATATTTTAAAATTCAAATTGACAAATGTCTTAAATCCACATTTGCCCAACATTTACCATTACCAGGAGAAAGTTCTACAACTCTAGTGATGCTATATTTTAAATGTTTTTGAATATGTATCATGAATCTGTTTCACTATTGAGAAATACAACTGAATACTTTAAAAAAATATATATTTAGGAATATATGGCTCTCAGAATTAAGAGTTTAACATATCATGTTCTGATTAAAAAAACAACTCCCCAGTGACAATGATCATGAGGGACTTCAACAATAAATATTATGACATGAAAGTAACAAAGAACATCAAAGAACATTTCAAGAAAATATCTTTTGAAGAGCATATACAAAAGAGATAATCCAGGCAGACATTTTTCCTATGGCAGCCAGCACAAATTAAAATGGATTAAGTTGACAGCACCCAGTGAACTTGCCCATACGCACCGAAAAAACACAGAAAAAATGAACACCAGATACAGAAATATTGGCGGATTATTTTAAAGCAGACATGTGCAATGTAAACAACCCTAAGGGTTGAATGAGGATAATCTTTTATGGGTCAAAAGCTGTGATGCACCAACAGACATTATTTATCATTAATGTGACTATGCAGTATCAATGCACTTGGTACGAAACGTTTAAATTTATTTCAGGATTAAAATTCCAGTTACAAGGAGATAGATAAAACTTGCTAATAAGCTCACCTTTGGTTGCTTGTCCCTCGGGGGCAATGATGTGACAGGTCTTCTAGGTTGAATATCATCAATGTCAGTACCTTCTTTCAACATAAAGTCTCTTGGGCTCTTCTTCACTTGATCCTGCCCATCACTGAAAAAGGGAGACTGGGTTCCTGACCAAATCACTATGTTGCCAGTGTCATCCTGTTTGGTTTTTGTGATGGGATCAAGAGGCAATTTCATTTTAGGGGTCTGAAATACTAGATTACACAAAGATGAATAAGTTAGTTTTTCAGATTTCATTTGGCAGGCCATAAACAGACACTCTTCCCATTGCATAATTTTATCTTATGAGTTAATTAAAAAGAATACAACTTTTTATACAGTAAATATTTGTACTGCGTATAAGGGAACATGTTATAGTAGACAAGAACTAATTTTTTACATATTAGAATGTCGTATTGACATATGAATGATATGGAAGCTCAACAAAATAACAAATAATATTTTAAAATGTTCCATGTACTTGTATCTAAGCTCTATTAACAAGTAAGTAAGGTTTCCACATGTTACAGGAGAAACAAGTAACATGGCAATTTTTTGCATGAAATTTTAAAATATTTGTCTTGATCATATGAAGGAAGAACTATACTCTTGACTAATGCAATTTATAAAATATATTTACAGGGCATGAGGAAGCCCTTTATCATTTATCTTAATAAAATTGAACAAAAAAAAAAAGAAAAAAAAAAAAAACTAATTTTCAAAGTTTCAGTGACCAGATACATCATATATTTATAAAGGGGTTGAATTAAGATTTCGTTCAAGTAAGTAAGGTTTCCACATGTTACAGGAGAAACAAGTAACATGGCAATTTTTTGCATGAAATTTTAAAATATTTGTTTTGATCATATGAAGGAAGAACTATACTCTTGACTAATGCAATTTATAAAATATATTTACAGGGCATGAGGAAGCCCTTTATCATTTATCTTAATAAAATTGAAAAAAAAAAAAAAGAAAAAAAAAAAAAACTAATTTTCAAAGTTTCAGTGACCAGATACATCATATATTTATAAAGGGGTTGAATTAAGATTTCGTTCATCAATATTACACCAAGTTTAGATTAATCCGATAATTCAAAATTGCTTAAGTTATACATAAATCCCTCCATAAAAAAATTACCTGATGAAAAATCAATATTTCCAAATCCTCTCATCATATCCTCCATTTGTCTATGCAAGGCATCCATCTGTCTGCTCATATCACCATGAAAGTGTTCAAACATATCCTCAACACCACGACTTTGGTCACCAAAAAATATACTTATCCTATACAGAGAGTTGGAAGTGTCATGGTATTAAATATAATGCAATATCTGTTTAGCTCATGTAAAGTTAACGAAAATATTTCTGCTTGCTCTCAAGGTGAGTCGGTTCCACATGAAAATATGCATAGGGCACCTAAATGCTGCTCTACTTGTAATAAAAATTGAATGCAATATGTCTCATACGATTTTAGCACAAAAAAATGATATACTTAGTTACAAATTTGTAGAATAAAATAATTCGAAATGTTTGTAAAGGCAAGGGGCCTCAAATTTTTTAAACACTTCCTTCAGAGTTCCTATGCACACTGCACATATCTTATATGTAGATCAAATAAGGAGGAAAAAACATTCCTCTTGCTTTCCTCTCCAATACTACATTTCAGTTAAGTGTCATTTTTATTGAATTCTGTTTTTACTGTTGTTTTTTGTTCCCTGATGAGACTTCTTTTAAACATGTTCGTTGTTTTGTTGTGTTCTTTTTTCCAGCTTTTCCCATACTTTGGCTTAGTTCCATACTTGAGTAAATCAGGTTTCTGCTAGTAACAAATCAAAGTAGAGTTACATGCACCTTGTTCAACAGTTTGTCCACTTGAAAATGTAAACATTACATGTGCGTTGAAAAAAAAAAAGTGGTTTACTGTTATTGCTTTGTTAAAAAGGTTGTAAGATAAATCATTTTAAAGAGCAATGGGTGCTGAACAATACTATGTTTTTCGATTTTTTATAAAATTTTATTTTAGAAAAATATATCAAGTTGAATTAAGGTAAGTGTACTATTTAATTTATCCTACTTTGTCCACCAGCTGCAAATTTTCATGATAACCACTGTTGAAAGCATCCAATTATCTTATTGTCCAAGAATGGAAAATCTCGCCAATTTTTATTTAAGTTTAAAAAAAGGATACAACCACATTTCCTCCCTGGATATCATTGTTTATTAAAGGAAATGACTTTTTCAAGGTGGCTGAAATGTAATCTTATCCACCTCAGGTAAGCATTTTTAAATCTCAAGTCATCTGGTTACCAAACAATGTTAAAAATACAATTTTGAGTTAATAGAAGTATTATTAACTAAGAAGCCATGTAAAATAGATATTTTATGTGTTTCATTATTTAAATAGTAAAATCTCCACCCCTAAATAAGCTTATTTATGAGTTTAGTCTCTGCTACATACTGATTTTTTATCATTTCAGTCAGCTGGAAGTTATTATAAAATTATAGGCCGTATATTTATATGTGCCAATAATTTTTCTATTTGTCTTCTATCATCATCATCTGTAACTATAATAAATGGCAGACATCATTGAATGAAAGGAGCAGCAAATCAAAGCAACTGGTGACTTTATTTCGCACTTAGAAAAACCTTTTGTGTAGAAATCAACACTGCAAATTTAAAAATGGGACATCTATAAATTTAACAAAGACTTATTGAAAACATTTTAAAGTTTCATGGGCCCAACAAGTCATGTAAAATGGACCAGCCAAGAAATGTGCTCTCATGCATCTTTTGCTACAGCTTGAAAACAAGAAAAAGTATGACCAAGGAGTGGCAATCATTTCTTTTTCTCAGACTATAATTTTTTTAAAGTTCCATTTATATTACATGCAACTGAAAGTAGATCAATTTTTGAAAAATGACAAAAACTGCAAGCATCCAGCTGGCAACATCTTCAAATGGATCACAAAAATATCTGTTTCCTAGTAGACTTAAGACAGATTGCAAAAATGTACACTTTTACGAAAAACTAATGCTGCACTCAGCCTAAAGAAGCAACACCTGAAAGAAACTTTAAATAATCTATACAAAAAAAGGCACTGCTTCTAAATCAAGATCATATCCTAGTAAGGTGCTACCCAGTCTAAACAGGTCAGCCACTGCTATTGCTTCATGGAGAGCAAAATTTAGATTCGCAAGCAGCCCTTGCAGCGAATGACAGATTATCCTAGCCATACAGAGATTACAATTAATAATTAAAAGAAATAAAATGCTTCTCTGCATTTATTAATTGCAGAATATAAAAGTAAAGCAGCTAATTCTAAAAAAACTTGCAAATGAAATAATGAGGCTTTCCAACAAATGACAGTAAACTATACATCTGTACAAGAAAAGTTCAAAAAAGATGTTTGAGGCGTTACAGCTGCTCTGTGAATTGAAACAGAATTTCCCACTAAATCACTTTGACTGGCACTAGAAATTCCCTATTCCCTGGCAAACACGTAAAGAATACAATTATTATATATGGTAAAATTAATTTTAGTAATATTAGTAATGACTTTTGGTTTCATTTTCTCACCCTGCATCCTCTTGATGATCATTTATATCTTGCTCATCATCATCTTCTTCATCAAAGTTATGTAAAGGGGACCTAGAGTAAAATGACGGATTTCTTAACCCAAAAAGTCTGCGAAAAATCTCTCCCATATCCATGACTGCCGAAGGGTCTGTGATGAAATTAAAAAAGAAATATTTGAAATATTATTAGTACATTTGTTTTAAATATATTATCCTATTTAAACTCCAACACTTAAAGCTAGATACTATTTACTAGTTACTGTATGATATTGATAGTATGAGTACTGGTATGAAAATATGAATCAATACTTTTAAACTATAAAATATTAGTAGAGCTAGACTAGAGTAGTGAAAAAATATTATAATATAAACAATAATATTTTTAATTGAGGTTTTAAACCCTGGTAGAGACATTATTGTAAATTATTATAATTTACTGAAGGCATTGCTGATGTCATGGCCAAACATTCAGACTATATATTCTCATAGTTTCATTCAAAAGAGATTGCTGTGTGCAAACACTATTAAACAATTGGTCAGTGAAAGCTTTAATAAGTCATGTGCAAAATTTGAAAGTTCAAAATAAGTTATCTCTAACCAGTATTAATGTTAAGTTTGACATAAAGTCTTTTTTAGTGGGGTCTTACGGGTCATCCATAAATGACGTCACAAATCTAGGGGGGGAGCCACATTTTTGTGATGATTTTTGACAAGGAGGATTGGCCGGTTTAAGCAACGGAAGTCACATTAACAACAAAAATTATAGTAAAAGTATGTATTTAATAACCCAAAATCACAGGAAATTTATATCGAAATGTGGAGACGGGAGTAATATAATTTGGACTAGCTTGTGAAGTAGGATGGAATGAAAAAATGGTTGACAATTCCCCCCTCCCAATATATAGAAATTATATTGTAATAAAATTTTTAATATCTTAGTTTTTTTCATTAATTTTAATAAACTTTCTATAAACAGAAAAAAACAAAAAGTTATGCGCTAAAAAAATTCACCAGAAAAATATTTACTGCTGCCAAACAAAATGTAGGCCTATATACTATATACTATATAAAAATTGAGTTTAAAAAAAAAGGCAGCAACAACTAGCCAACTAGCAATGGCAGCAAATACAATTTTCTTGGTCTTCCACGTCGCAGAGCTGAGGGGGCACTTTTATCCCTGGTTAAGAGCCACTCACTACCACTGTTCTAGGGATATGATGATCTTGCACAGGTGCAGTATCAGCAGTAGTAATTTGATATCCATCAATCCATGCATCGGAGGTTGAAGTTTAAGGGTTTGTAGATGTGACAGTCGTGGACAGAGAGATGTTTTTTATAGGTGTGGGGAGAGGAGAGCAAAGATTTGTATTTACTATTTAATTTACTATATTATGAGTGGGGTCTAGATTAAAGTTAGCCTCAGTAAAGAAGGTCAAGAACTAGTACTAACTTCACGTAGTCATTGTAGTAGTAAACTTCACTGATAACTAACTTAACTAACTTTACTAATAATACAATTAGAAATTGCTATGACTATGACTCATGACTCTTCACTATACTTTTGGCTAAAACTACACGAGTTGCCACTAGGATATTTGATTAGTACTAGGCAGGGTAGGGTTAACTTACTTAGGCACTGGCTAACAACAGTGTCAGTGCTAACACTAACACTAATATAATACTAATAAAAACAACAGACACTATTAATTTTAATAATTAAATTATTGAGATTAAAGTTAATGTCTGACCTAAACTTCGACTACTTTTTTATCGACTTACTATTTGTTTAAATTATGATCTATTGTGGCTAATAAAGTAAAGCAATGGTTTCAGATTCAGTGGTTGCGTCAAACAGGTGATGAAATTGGTGATTCCTTCGCAATAGTGTTTTCTGTTATCAATTTCTAGAAACTTTCTAAAATTTGTTCCAGTTCTTTTGTGTTTCATTTCATTTTTTAAACTAATCAGACAATGTACGGTGTAAAGAAATATTTTGTCCCTTTTATTTTTAAAATTAAATAATTCATTGTTGTTAAATGTAGACTTATAATATTTGCCAACGCCAACTCGTTTAATTATGCCTATTACTATTATTATTTTATGAAATAGATAATAAAAAATTATAATAAAATATAGACATGCTTTGATTTTTACTCTCCATGAGCAGGCCCTAATTAAAAGTGAAACACAATCAGACATGGTGCCTTTGCCTTTGGTCATGAATATAGGCTAAATATTACACGGTAATAAAAACCACGATAGCAATATTATGATAATATTTAAGTGTTGAAAAAGTAGATAGAAACCTACTCTAATTATATAATTATTCGCACGGTTTGTTAATAAGGATTTAATAAATAAAATAAAACCGAGACTATTTGTAGCTTATTAAATGCTCTAGCCATAGCCCAGTGGTCGGCAAAATTTTCATGGTGGAGAGCCAAATATTAAATTTTGATCTAGTAACTATTAGTATCCAAGAGCTACATGAGTGACATGAGAAAGAACAAAGAGCCAAGGCGCAGGTTTCTGACCCCTGCCATAGCCCATTGCCTGTTTGGATATAGGACCAATGTCGAAAATGGACTTAAAGCTTTGGGAGGCCTAAGTCAATAAAAGTTCTGATCGCTATAAATAACAGCGACACTGCCCTTTAAAAATTACAGAAAATAGGTGAAACAAAGTATGGGAAGATCTGAAAAAGGGACGCTACAAAAAAGAGGCTACAATTGTTTTGTTGCCTCCCTTTTTTCAAGGGTTTCTCTTTATCGTGTTTTGACTTATTTGCCTTACTGTGGTCTCTCTCTCTCTCTCCCACACACTTATCACTTTTGAAGACAAAAATTGCACAGAAACCTCTTTAAGAATCAAGTCCACCTTGTCTGAAAGCTATGATAATCTTGCACTACCTAGGCATGGGGACAACGAACTCCATCTAGTTTAATTTAAAGAGTCTAATACCCATGGATATGGAATTCGGAAAAATACTGACTCTCTGAGAGGGCCTGTTGAAGGTACCGGCAACTTGGGCATTTGCCCGGGGTGCCTGGTGCTTAGAAATCTTAAAATAATTTGAGATTTGTTGAATGACTAGTAAAATAAGTCTATTTGTCAGTTGTAATCTACCTTTAATATAATATAAAATATATCAGCCCTTAACGAAAATTCGCTTCTTGCATTTTTTGTTTTGTTAAGCTATTTGTAATGATACACCGTAAATGTTTTGAAACATCACTACGATTACTGACAGGGCTGGCCTTTAGGGTGTGCGACCTGTGCCCTTGCACAGGGCGCCGTGGTTATAGGGGCGCCTGGAGCGCCCAGTAAATATTTAAGTTCCCTTAGTTTATTACAGTGAAGTGTGAACCTTGGGTCCAGGGCTGAGAAACGATACTCTAACATTTCGTACACGGCATGTGCCTTAGGGCGCCATCAACGATCTTCCAAAATAGGAAAAAGCATTGCATGTGGGCGCCATGGAAGAAAACTAGAAAGTGCAATAAAAAAGATATGGTGATAAAAATTATCAAAAACAATTTTATTGTTCATTGTTTATTTTTTAAAAAAGGTAATATTTAATAAACTCATTACCGAATAACTAGTTTTCCGGTTAATGATTACACTTAAAAGGGGTGCCAAAGTTAAGCTTGCACAGGGCGTCAGCAACCGTTGGGCCGGTCCTGTTACATAGTATTAAAGCTATTGATAAGGAGATTCAGTCAGAAGTGGATAAATAACGTGAACACTGGAGTAAAATTTTAGAACGTTTAATGAGGAGTACTCAATATTCAGCTGAACGGAATTCGGCTTTTAGTGGAAATTCAGTCACATTATTTACGCCACACAATGGGAATTGTTCAGGTCTTGTTGAGTTAGATATTTGGAAAATTAAATTTAACAATGAGTGAACATCTACGTTGAGTTGTGTCTAGAGAAACACACGTTCACTATTGTGGGAAAAAAATGTGCAGAACGAAATAATCAATTTGTTAGGAAAATTCTTTTCAAGAAAATATTATTCACACTGTCCCATTAAATTAGGAAAACATATAGTATTGTTCATTGTTTGTTAAAAAAAAAACCCTAGGTAATACGCTCATTACCTAACCCTTAGTTTTTTCCCTGCAAAAAATGTTTACAATAATACTTACAATGGCGCCAAAATAAAGCCCGCCCTGGGCGCAGGGAAATGTAGCACCAGTCCTGCTCTCTGGTGTAGAAAGAGGGGTAGGGGACAACAGCAGGCGGCTCTTTGGGGCGCGGGAGGAGCATTTTTAAAAATTACTGGGCGTCACTAATTATATCAACACCATTGGACCCCAAGTAGAAACTACCGGGCGTCACCAATTCTAGCAACACCATTGCACCCCAAGTAGAAACTACCGGGCGTCACTAATTATAGCAACACCATTGGACCCCAAGTAGAAACTACCGGGCTTCACTAATTAAAGCAACACCATTGGACCCCAAGTAGAAACTACCGGGCGGCCCCAATTCTATCAACACCATAGGACCCCAAGTAGAAACTACCGGGCGTCACTAATTATAGCAACACCATTGGACCCCAAGTAGAAACTACCGGGCGTCCCTAATTATAGCAACACCATGGGACCCCAAGTAGAAACTACCGGGCGTCACTAATTATAGCAACACCATTGGACCCCAAGTAGAAACTACTGGGCGTCACCAATTCTATCAACACCATTGGACCCCAAGTAGAAACTACCGGGCGTCACTAATTATAGCAACACCATTCGACCCCAAGTAGAAACTACCGGGCGTCCCTAATTATAGCAACACCATTGGACCCCAAGTAGAAACTACCGGGCGTCCCTAATTATAGCAACACCATTGGACCCCAAGTAGAAACTACCGGGCGTCCCTAATTATAGCAACACCATTGGACCCCAAGTAGAAACTACCGGGCGTCCCTAATTATAGCAACACCATTGGACCCCAAGTAGAAACTACCGGGCGTCCCTAATTATAGCAACACCATTGGACCCCAAGTAGAAACTACCGGGCGTCCCTAATTATAGCAACACCATTGGACCCCAAGTAGAAACTACCGGGCGTCCCTAATTATAGCAACACCATTGGACCCCAAGTAGAAACTACCGGGCGTCCCTAATTATAGCAACACCATTGGACCCCAAGTAGAAACTACCGGGCGTCCCTAATTATAGCAACACCATTGGACCCCAAGTAGAAACTACCGGGCGTCCCTAATTATAGCAACACCATTGGACCCCAAGTAGAAACTACCGGGCGTCCCTAATTATAGCAACACCATTGGACCCCAAGTAGAAACTACCGGGCGTCCCTAATTATAGCAACACCATTGGACCCCAAGTAGAAACTACCGGGCGTCCCTAATTATAGCAACACCATTGGACCCCAAGTAGAAACTACCGGGCGTCCCTAATTATAGCAACACCATTGGACCCCAAGTAGAAACTACCGGGCGTCCCTAATTATAGCAACACCATTGGACCCCAAGTAGAAACTACCGGGCGTCCCTAATTATAGCAACACCATTGGACCCCAAGTAGAAACTACCGGGCGTCCCTAATTATAGCAACACCATTGGACCCCAAGTAGAAACTACCGGGCGTCCCTAATTATAGCAACACCATTGGACCCCAAGTAGAAACTACCGGGCGTCCCTAATTATAGCAACACCATTGGACCCCAAGTAGAAACTACCGGGCGTCCCTAATTATAGCAACACCATTGGACCCCAAGTAGAAACTACCGTTCATGCCTAATTATAGCAACACCATTAGACCCCAAGTAGAAACTACCGGGCGTCACTAATTATAGCAACACCATTGGACCATAAGTAGAAACTACCGGGCGTCCCTAATTATAGCAACACCATTGGACCCCAAGTAGAAACTACCAGGCGTCCCTAATTATAGCAACACCATTGGACCCCAAGTAGAAACTACCAGGCGTCCCTAATTATAGCAACACCATTGGACCCCAAGTAGAAACTATCGGGCGTCCCTAATTAAAGCAACACCATTGGACCCCAAGTAGAAACTACCGGGCGTCACCAATTCTATCAACACCATTGGACCCCAAGTAGAAACTACCGGGCTTCACTAATTATAGCAACACCATTGTACCCCAAGTAGAAACTACCGGGCGTCCCTAATTATAGCAACACCTTTGGACCTTAAGTAGAAACTACCAGGCGTCCCTAATTATAGCAACACCATTGTACCCCAAGTAGAAACTACCGGGCGTCCCTAATTATAGCAACACCATTGGACCCCAAGTAGAAACTACCGGGCGTCACTAATTATAGCAACACCATTGGACCCCAAGTAGAAACTATCGGGCGTCCCTAATTATAGCAACACCATTGGACCCCAAGTAGAAACTATCGGGCATCCCTAATTATAGCAACACCATTAGACCCCAAGTAGAAACTACCGGGCGTCACTAATTATAGCAACACCATTGGACCCTAAGTAGAAACTACCAAGACCCCAAGTAGAAACTACCGGGTGTCCTTAATTATAGCAACACAATTGGACCCCAAGTAGAAACTACCGGGCGTCCCTAATTATAGCAACACCATTGGACCCCAAGTAGAAACTACCGGGTGTCATTTATTATAGCAAAACCATTGGACCCCAAGTAGAAACTACCCGGCGTCCCTAATTATAGCAACATCATTGGACCCCAAGTAGAAACTACCGGGTGTCCCTAATTATAGCAACACCATTGGACCCCAAGTAGAAACTACTGGGCGTCACTAATTATAGCAACACCATTGGACCCCAAGTAGAAACTACCGGGCGTCCCTAATTATAGCAACACCATTGGACCCCAAGTAGAAACTACCGGCCGTCCCTAATTATAGCAACACCATTGGACCCCAAGTAGAAACTACCGGGCGTCACTAATTATAGCAACACCATTGGACCCCAAGTAGAAACTATCGGGCGTCCCTAATTAAAGCAACACCTTTGGACCCCAAGTAGAAACTACCGGGCATCCCTAATTATAGCAACACCATTGGACCTCAAGTAGAAACTACCGGGCGTCACTAATTATAGCAACACCATTGGACCCCAAGTAGAAACTACCGGGCGTCCCTAATTATAGCAACACCATTGGACCCCAAGTAGAAACTACCGGGCGTCCCTAATTATAGCAACACCATTGGACCCCAAGTAGAAACTACCGGGCGTCCCTAATTATAGCAACACCATTGGACCCCAAGTAGAAACTACCGGGCGTCCCTAATTATAGCAACACCATTGGACCCCAAGTAGAAACTACCAGGCGTCCCTAATTATAGCAACACCATTGGACCCCAAGTAGAAACTACCGGGCGTCCCTAATTATAGCAACACCATTGGACCCCAAGTAGAAACTAGCCGGCGTCCCTAATTATAGC